ATATTTATGAATTTTTTTCCATATTTATAAACCAATTTTTGGCTGAGATATGACCGTTTTCATTCATTCTGACAGAAAATATTGAACATTACCATTTTCAGCCGCTAGATGGCACTCGAGTAGTATGGCATGCCGTTGTATCAAGTAATAGGTAAAAGTCGCTATTAATGACACAATCGGCTTGCCATAGATGCCACCTTCGTTCTGCTCACTGCTTGGAGCAACCGTCAAATCAGCTTTATTTAGCTGCGCCTCCCCAGCAAAATGTAGCTAATTTGACCATTGAAGTGCATTTATTAATAAAAGTTCAGTTGAGGCACAATTTTGCTATAATGTCAAGCAAACAAATAATTGTTTTTAAGTGTTAATCTTGTTAAATTCTTGTTAAAGTCTTCCCGTACACGCTCCCGTGGCAGCCATTTGGCAGCCATTCAATTTTTTGGCATAATGCCAGCCTGCATTTCCGTGTTCGTCCCACATTTCTGGTTTTTCAGCGGTGACGCATAACAAACGTGACGCGTTAGCGGTGACTCATAATAGATGTGACATACAGCAAAATTATGTGTTTAAGGATTTTTCCACTTTAATAGACATATTTGGACTGATGCAACTAATAGGGTGGTGCAACGTTTACAGCGAAAAACACAGTAGATAAAGATGTCATTGCATTGATTCCATTCAGAAAACTTTATTAGAATTCTTTCAGTGCCTCATGAGATATTTTACTAACAGAGTTGGTTCCAGTAATTAATGGTCTGTCAGCACTCTAAGTGCAGATTTTTTTTAACCAACACAACAAACCATAGCAAAATATCTGTGAAATTGACTGAGTTCTTGCCGTCTTTGTGTTTTTGAAGACTACTCAGCTGCAGCCATCTTGCATTGAATTAACTCCAAAAGTAAAAAAAACGGTTATAGATGTTTTATTTATTTATAGATGCCAACCTAATCATTACTTTCTGAAAGTTAAATTAAAATCAATTCAGTGCCTCATGAGATATTTTGCTTATAAGACAAACAACACACACACAGACATTTTTGCTGCACCTCTGCCTTTGCAGTGGATGATAATTAGAAAACTGGAAAGGCCCACTTATCGTATTTTTCAGAATATAAGATGCACTTAAAATCCTTTAATTTTCTAAAAAATTGACAGTGAGCCTTATAATCAGGTGAACCTTATGTATTAATTGTGGTTGTGCTTACCGACCTTGAACCGATTTTATGTGTTTATTGTGAATGAGTTGAATAAAATTTGACTCATCTGTTTTGTTTCGCTTTATGCGCCTTATGTACGAAAACAGATCCGTTCATTGATATTGCACCTTATAGTCCGAAAAATACGGTAATTTAAAATCCAAGATGAACAGGTTTATTTCATGTATTTAAATAAAATAGTTAGGTTCTTATCAAATATTTTATATGAAGTGCATTTTTTAAATATACATGCACAACCGTATGAGTTCACCCACAAAACATTAACGTGACTGTTCTCCTTTTGTTGCCATGTAGTAAACTGATAAAAATGATAATCGGCAAATGACAAAATACATGGCAACTACATGGAGCCACAGACAAATGAAAATATAAAAAAGGAACAAAAACAGACAGACAAATGTGTATATGTTGTAGAAATGAAAAATGGATTTTGAAAGAGGTGAACGGCTCTAAACTGAGGAAATGTGACAGAATAATTGTCTGCTTGACTTCATGTCCAAACCGAATCCCTGGAATCAGCAGAACTGATGATAACAAAAGATAAGCATGTCAGTTATCCAACACCCATCAGCAGCTTCTGAAGAGCTCAAGAAGCTGCAAATGAGTCCAGGAAGAGTCTTTTTTTTTTCTTCTCCATTTAGTGTCATGATTTATCTCAAACATCACATCCATGAGAAACTGAGTAAACAGAATTTTCTGTTCAAATCACAACACAATGTGTTCAAGATTGAGCAAATTTAGAAAAATCTTATGAAGCTATTAGAAAAAAAGTGTTTTTAGATTATTTCGTTCATGGAGTTATAGGAATCTGACTTATTACTACGTCTTTTAAAAACATTTAGTTGCACTTTTATGTAAGATGCAAACTCTTGCAACTTTCTTTTAAGGCAGAGTTTTTGATTTTGTGGCACATTCCTGAAGCTCTTTAAACTTGTTGGAATGCTTGTGAAAAATGCTTTGTCCTTGATTTTGCCTTTAAACAAAGTATAATTTCACAATGCAGCTTGCCTACCTTTATTTGTATCTTGTTTTCAGTGTGTTGCCTTACAGCTAACATTGTTTCAAGCCACAGTGAGTTCTGTGTACACTCGTAATCGGGAGTTTTTGTGTTTTTGATTAGAGAGCAGAGCAGCAGAGAAACGTAAGCAATGTGCAGAAATGTCAGCCCCACATAAACCGCTGCATCACTGTATGACAAACTCAGCAACCAAACGATACACAGTAGGATGAATCGATAGCGTCACAGAGGGAAAAATGTTTCTATCTCTTCTGCTTTAAACCGTTCAACAATATTCCAGCAGCCAGGAAGAAGTATGGAGCTGTGGATTTACATTTAAAGCAAATAAATCTAAGTGAAACTAAATTAGATTTACCTGACTCAGTTTAGATAAAGTGTTTTGACTCCCAGTAGAAATAAAAATGTCCAAAAATCCAGAAATTTTACATCAATCAATAAATAATTAATATATATTTCCCCCGCTACTGTTTTTTTCTCTCCCTTTCTAGGCACAAGAAAGCTGGAGTATGCAGGTTCCACATGGCACGAGGGCTGCTTCACCTGCCACAGCTGCGAACAGCCGATCGGCTCAAAGTCGTTTATTCCCGACAAAGACGAGCACTACTGTGTGTCCTGCTACGAGGAAAAGTTTGCTCCACGCTGCACGCGCTGTCAAAAGGTCTGAAAATATGTTCAAAAACTAACATATATACATAATATAACATATGTATATATATATATATATATATATGTATGTATATGTATGTATGTATATATCTGTGTGGATGTGGGTGTGTCAATCAGTCAGAGAAGAATGGCTCTTTGGGTCAATTCTGAGTTTCATATTTTAAACCAGGCATCTAGAAAGCTGGAAAGAAAATGGCGCTCCACTAAGAAGAATGAAGAATTTTACTTATCTTAACTTACAAAAAAGTGCTCCATAAAGCTCGAACTTTATATTATTCATCTTTAATTGATGAGACTAAAAATAGCCCCAGGTTCCTTTTCAGTACCATAGCTAATCTAATGAAAAATCCCATCTCTGTTGATTCATATATCCCTACAACTAAGCAGTGATGAGTTCATGAGATTCTTTATAAATAAAATAATTTCAGTTAAAGAAAAAAATTCATACCAGCCTTCCTACTATCGCCTCTGGTTCTGTGTCAGATGAGACAACTTTAAAAATGTCCCTAGAATCTGATGTATGTTTGGACTGTTTTTGCCCTGTTGCTATGTCTGAATTGTTAAAAATAATAGCTTCATTCAAAACATCCACATGTTTGCTAGATCCCATCCCAACCAGACTTTTTAAAGACACACTTCCCGTAATCAGTAACCATGTCTTGGATCTGCTTAATTTGTCTCTAATAAACGTTTAGGTACCACAGAGCTTTAAGATTGCTGTAATTAATTATTTACTTAAGAATCATAAACTTGACTCAGGAATCCTAGCCAATTATAGACCTATATCTAACCTACCTTTCATCTCAAAAATTCTAGAGAAAATAGTTGCTGGTCAGTTGCATGATCATCTGCAAAGAAATAATCTGTTTGAAGAGTTTCAGTCATGGTTTAGAGCTCACCACAACACTGAAACTGCACTGGTGAAATGTGCATTGCTGAAACAAGAAGATGAGAAATCAGCAGAAATGAGCATCTAAAACGAAAATTAATCGCTGTCTTTTTTGTTGTTCACTATTAAGGCTCTGGCTAAAGGTGGGGTAACCTATCGAGAGGAGCCGTGGCATAAGGAGTGTTTTGTGTGCACCAGCTGTAAGACACAGCTGGCGGGTCAACACTTCACCTCCAGGGATGACAGCCCTTATTGCCTTAAGTGCTTTGGCAACTTGTACGCCAAGAAGTGTGAGGCCTGCAGCAAACCAATCACAGGCAAGTTCACGTTGCTCCGTTAAATCTAGTTATGTTGATCAGATGAAGTGGGCTACTACATAAAAATATGATTAGTTATGTAAACAAGATGAGCTCAAAGATCGGCTAACGGGGGCCTTGAATATTTTGATTATTTCACATTAACCAAATGTTCAAACTGAAAATTTTCTGCACTAATAAAAACCCAGCAGAGACTTTGTGACCTGCGGTCATTAAACATTTACACTGTGATATCAGTTTGTTAAAAGCAGCAACTGACAGGTTCAGATTGTTATCGCAAGGGTCTGATAGCATTCTTCGAAAGGAATTCTGCAGAGATTAACGTTTTTGTTTACACTTCACGTTTTTCTGCTCTCAGTTCTGTCATCCAAAGTGTGTTATTTTAACAGATTACAACAGAAAAAGCTGCGCATATTAGAAAAAAAGAAATCTTTGTGCTTATTTTATGGTGCACAACCTCTGACATTGATGAACTGCTTGAAATACTTTATTTCCACACACCAGGGCTAAATGTTGAGCTAATGTTGAACTTGTTGGATGGGACATTTAATGGCCATCTCTGTTTATTTGAGCTAGAGCAAACAGACGAAGAGCTCTTCTGAAAATGTGTAGCTGATGAGAAAAGCGAGCTTTTGTCTTCTCCTGTTTGAGGAGATGTCCTGGTGAAAATATCCAGAAACACAGTAGGCTGTAAGGCTTCCTCCAGCCTTGGTGAGAGCCTTATAAAGTCTGCATGTGACATTTCAACCACAACTTTTGGGGCCGATTTGGAACATTAAGTTATGTGTTTTCTTCTAATTCTTACTATTTTCATTTTTAACCCAACCTTTATTAAGCATTTTATATTCTAAACTAAACCATGTGGCTTTTAAGCATTTCAGAACCCTCTCTTTCCCCATAAAAAGTAAGCATTTAATTACTGATTATTAATATTGATTGTAAAACAAAAGGAGAATAACAACGTTTTATTTGAGTTGAACATCGTTTTGTGTTTGTTCCTAAAGGCATTTGCTCAGTTCCTAAAGTAGGGATGTCCCAGTCAAGATATGTTTGTCCTTGATACCAAAACTTAATTGGATTGTTGCATTATTTTATATTTTATTATAGCAGACTTGCAGAATAGCTGTCATAAGTACAATAAAGTTATTAAAAGCAAGTATCGTGTGCTTGACACCTCAGTAGCTCTGCTTTGCAATACATTGTTAATCTTCAAGTTGCTTTTTAAACTAAGAACAAGCTGATAGCAAAGGTTTTAATACAGCTCGGGGAGCGCTGTGTTGTTTATGTCGTGTTGAGAGCGTAGGATGTACCGTGGCTTCAACAGTTGGTGTTGAAAATGGAAAATAATGCTCATTCACACCAATAAATTTGGACCACTGCTGTCCGTCCTTGATCATTTCTTTTAAAATTTCCTCTTCTGTGTTGCTCAGCTGTATACGTTTTAACTTGTCTACTCAGCTGAGTGTATAATTTTATTATAAAATGTATAGTATTTAATGTAGCTCTTTCTTCATGATAATGGCTAGTATTTCAAACATTGCAAGCAGCTGCTGAACTGCTCTCATTTTGTCCTGATGCATGCTCAGTAATCCAGGTAGACACGAAAATCTAACAAAGTTGAGTCAGGTCCTCTGGATGGATTCTTCTTTTTTGCAATGTTTCGTATTTTTTTCCAGAAGACTCTTCAGTCTTGAGTCAAGACTGAAGAGTCTTCTGGATAAAAGACAAAACATTGCAACAAAGAACAACCCATCCAGAGGACCTGACTCAACTTTGTTACATGCTCTCATTTTGTACAGTATACTGCAGATGTGATGGCACGAAATATCACAACAATGGCTGTCATACTGCGGCGAAGCGTACATAAAGCTATTAATAGTTGGTTGACAACAAAGATCTGGATTAGAGCTTCTTTTATATCAATGAGGGTGGCACGGTGGCTCAGTTGGTAGAGCTGCCGCCTCTCAACAAGAAGGTCGCAGGTTAAAATCCTGGTTCGTGGTCTTTCTGGGTGTAGTTTGCATGTTCTCTCTGTGCATGTGTGGGTTTTCCACGGGTGCTCCGGTTTCCTCGCATAGACCAAAAACATGCATGTTAGGCTGATTGGTAACTCTAAATTGTCCCTAGGTGTGAGTGAGAGAGTGAATGATTGTTTGTCTCTATGTGTCCCTGTGATGGACTTGCGACTTGTCCAGGGTGTCCCCCGCCTCTCGCACAGTGATAGCTGGACATGGGCCCCAGTGACCCTCGTGACCTGAAAAGGAAGAAGTGGGTAAAGATAATGGATGGATGATACCAGTTAATGGAAAATGTCTTGATTAGTACTTTGAGCCAATAGTATTTATCAGCTTGGGACATCCCTAAATAGAAACACCCTTTAAAATACCTTATAAATAGTAAGAACCTGTATAAATAAAGGACGAATGGGAAAAAAGACATATGTGTAGGGTGCCAGGTAAGACTTTATTCAGATTTAGCTTGCATACAGTAAAAAGCTCATGCTTTTATCACTGATTTCTGCTTGAACACTGATCAGATCTAATGTTTAGGTCTTCTTCCACCTTTTTAAACTTGCTGTTACACCATAAACATGTTGAACTTCCATACCTGTCTGCTTATGTTAATGGTAGACAATAAAATAGATGATAGTAATTATTATGAAAATGCTAAATCTTAGTTTAAAGTTCAGTGAAGTCTTATTTACATAACTTAATACCTTTAATGTTTTATAAAAACTGCCATGGTTAAAACATTACAGCTGGATGTTGCCAATGGTTAACTTGAAGGACAACATAAAATGCTAGATGGTTACAGAAATGTAAAATAATCTGAAATGTACTGCTGTAACACACGTGCACAAACACTTGGGAAGTGTAAACTGCTCAACAGAGGTGGACATTTTAACTAAACAAATGTATATCTGTTTTTTTCTCTAGAGGTGTTCTATATTTAAACATAACCTTTGCACTAAAAATACGTTGAGCTTTATTTAGAAAAAACAGCTTTGATTAATTCACAGGCAGAACGTCTCCTACAGCGATAAAGTTTGGTTATTAGAGGCGTTCGCAAGATTAAGGTCTTGAGTTTAATAAGATTACCAGTTTTCTGTTGGAAAGTCTCAGTGAAATGTGGAATAAATGTCAAGATTTGCCTCAGGTTGTGAGAAAAAAAGTCAAATGTTTATTGAGTTGAATTTGTACTCAATTGTCAACCACTTTTTAACATTTTTAAATGTATTGTCAGAAAAATGTTCCTTTGGCTTTGTGACATTTACTTTTAGACTTTTTTTTTTGACAAAAGAACTTTTGATGAGATCAAAGTTCATGTCCCATAATCCAGGTAAAAAAATCCAACAAAGTTAAGTCAGGTAAAAAAAAAAAAAATCATCCAAAGGACTTTGTCAGTCGTGTGGCTCCTTGGACTGACAAAGTCCTTTGGATGAAGGACGAAACGTAAAAAAAAAAAAAAGTAAATAACAAAGAAACCATCCAGATGACCTGACTTATCTTTGTTGGATTTTGTACCTGGATTATTGAGCATGAACGTTGATGTTTTGAACCACGTTGGCCATGCCTGCCTCAGAGGATTTGATAGGGGAGAGTGCGGGCTCCAGAAATCATCTTATCAGCAAACTGGTTGGTCCACTATGGGAGTGTGCTGCTTGTGGGACTCAGTTTGTTGTGGCTCCTCGGACTGATGAAGTCCTTTAGATGAAGGACAAAATTCAAGGATTCAAGGTTCTTTATTTGTCATATACACCACATGTGGTACATGTGGTGGAACGAATGTGTGTACACAGTGTCCCAGTTACATCCAAAAAAATAAATAAATAAAATGTTTTAACAAACAAACAAAAAAATCCAGATGACCTGACTTCACTTTGTTGAACTTTTGATGAGGTTTTCAAGACCATTAATTCCTCAGTTTCCATGTTTCATATCTTCACTTCCATGCAGGTCAGCAGACACATTTGAAAGTTTCAACATTCTGTTTCTTACTTCTCCTTCGTCCAGGTTTTGGAGGAGGGAAGTACATCTCATTTGAAGACCGTCAGTGGCATCAGCCGTGTTTCACCTGCTCCCAGTGCTCCGTCTCTCTTGTGGGCGCCGGCTTTTTCCCCGACGGTGACCGGATCCTGTGCCGTGGCTGCCACAGCAGCCTATAGAACCCTCGTTTACGATGATCGCACCATTCCTTCAAACCTTCAACTCATTTTACGGCTTTTCAAAAACAATAAAATGCTGCCTCAGGTTGTTTTAAAATAAAGACATTAGTACCTTTTATAGCCTTGTTTGACCAGGAGCTGCAGCTGTGCGCAAAATTGTGTTGTTGCTGCGTCATCAGGACAAAGATTTCTCCTTGAACTAAAATGTTGTGTTTATGGAGTGCCTTAATAATTTTTTATGTATGTTCAAAATGCTTGCCATTTTCCAAATATGTCTTTATATCTATAAATATAAGTAAAATATCTCTTCAGGTTGAAGTCAGGCTCTGAGGAGAAGATGCAGAACACTGATATATAAAATCTACAGTCTGTATTTTAAATGTATGATTGAGTTTTGAGGCAGTTTTATGCATTTTGAATGTTTGATTTTCATCACATTTCACTGCTCTGTAGTGTAGGTCTTGCTTTATGCATCTCAAACATGTTGTTGTACATAGGGGCACAGAAGGTGCAACACTTTTGTAAAAAGTTGCAAAATATTAGTTGTTTTTATCCAAAATTTCAAATGTAAAAATGAAAATGAGAAAAGCATAAAACTCTTCTTAATGTTGTTCGTTTTTGGTCATCAGTACAGTTCATTTGCACTTTGCTTTGCTTCTATATGTGCACAAACACAATTTAAAGGCACGGTGGGAGACGCACCGCTGTTTAGCCGTCTTCTTAGTTAAGTTAAACTTTACTTAAAATCATTTTTATAATGTATCACTGTGCACAAAGACATTTATAATCCCAAAGAAGCTAAAATAAAATACATAAATGTTGTACATAGCCAAAAAAATGGATCTCTATCTGTCATTTCTTCCCGTGCTTATTTTGTTCATTTTTATGTTAGTTTTTAAATCATGTGAAAAATACAAAAGTATCTTTAAGTTGATTATTTCAGCTTTGATGCTGGCGAGTCAGAGTTGGCAAATATATTTTAAAGATGGAAAACAGACCGTCGGAATGAGAACCGTTTCAACTTACTGTAAATGTGTTGATAGCTGATACGACTAAATGGTTATTTTTAAAAACCTAAGGAAATAAAAGGCGCTGACTAATTTTTGTTTGCGGTTTTTGTTAGAATCTAAAGAACATCTGTTACTGGATTAAATCTGCATGGCTTTCTGTTGACTTGTGTTTACACTCTAAGCTTCTAAACCCCCTTTGAGTGTTTAAATTGTCTTTCTAGGAAGGATGTGTGTGTGTGTATGTGTGTGTGTGGGGGGGGGGGGGGGGGGGTTCTAAAGGGAAAGGGCATGAAAGGGTGGGAGAGTATGAGAAACTAGAGAAAGCAAGCACGTGTTATAAGGCAGGAAAAGTTGCACGTGTCTCTAGTTTTAGTATATTTTCTGAGTCATAAACAGTAAATGAGAGAGTGTGTGAGTCTGCCCCTGAATGGGTACACACACACACACACTGTTGTCATGCTGAGTCAGCTGTTTCTTTGCCTTGATGAAGCACACATCCACAGAACGCCAGATACACTTTCCTGCCGGCGTTGATGAACTGTCCTCCTCCCTGCCTCCGTTTCAGATTTTTTCACCAAAAAAGGAGATGGAAAAGTTGCAGCCGCATGGGGGGAGGGTGATGGTGCAACTCAGAGAGAAAAGACTGTGGGAGGCGGAGAGGGGAGAGGCACGGAAAGAGGATGTTCACATCTGGAGTTGCACCATGGCACTTTCAATAGAAGAGAGGGGGTTCGGCTAACTCACAGTCCCCTTTGGATTTATTTGAAGACGTGAAGAGGCAGGGAGATGATGGCTAACAGGAAGGGCCAAAGGCAAACGCTTAACTGTGTCAAGTTGTACACACACTCAGAGAAACTAAATCATCACCAGTTATTGTGTGAATGTTTATGAAGCATTCACTATTGTCTTCCATTTTTCTTCTGTTCGTATTTCAGCTTCTTGTTCCACAGTTTTGTGCTATTTCAACAAATCATATATCAAAATGTTCAGCTCGCTCAGGAGAAGGGTGCTATGACTTTGGGTGTTGGTGCAACTTTAGCTTTTTGAAATATTTTGCCTTTTCTGCCATTTTTTTTTTTCTCATAGAAAATGAATTGAGCTCATTTTACAGTCTTCAAATCTTTAGATCTGTTTGCAACCTTTTACTGCTCCTTTCACTTTTTGTTCCGGTTCAGCTTCTTTCAACTTCCTTGTGCAAATTTTAACATTTTACTTCTTTCCGCTAATTTCAGCTTTTTCTGCTATTTCAGCTATACTTTTTCTTCTTCTTTCGGCTTCTCCCTTCTTCAGGGGTCACCACAGCGAACTGAATTGCACAAAGACTTGGCAATTGTTTTTACGCCGGATGCCCTTCCTGACGCAACTACAGACCATCGAGCTACCACAGCACTCTGTGTGGAGCATATGGTGGGGGTTAAGGGCCTTGCTCAAGAGCCCAGAGTGGGACAAAAGAGGGTGGAGGCAGGTGTGGGTGCTTCATCAATCCCACCCACATTTTGATGTTGTCGGTACCGGGAGATGAACCAGTGATCTTCCAATCACAGGCCCACCTTCTCTAACTTCTGTGCCACCACTCCCTCTGCTATTTCAGCTATTATTTAGCTGTTTTATGCTCATTTAGATTTTTTATCCAATTCCACTTGTTTTTGCACTTATTTCATTTTTTTTCAGCCTAATTCAGCACAAATATGCTCTACGTCCTAATAGTAATTTAAGCTTATTTCTGCCTTTTTTTTTAGCTGCTTTTCAGCTTGTTTTTTGCAACAGCTTTTTTCAGATAATTTCCACTTTTTGGTGCTCATTTCTGCTTCTTTCAGCCTAATTTGGCAAAATTGTGCTCTCTCCACTTTCTTCTTAAACCCATTCTACCTTTTAAGCTAAGTTTTTAGCATTTTTAGCTAATATCAGCAGTTTTCAGATAAATTCAAGTTTGTTTGTTTTTTCTGCTACTTTCAGACAATGTAATTAACTTATTTCTTCTCATGTCAGCTTGTCATGCTCCTTTCAGCTTATTTCTGTTAGGTTAAGCTTTATCTGCTCATTCAGCTACTATTTAGCTGTTTATGCTAAATTTAGACTTTTCAACTAATTCCACATTTTTTTAGATCTTTTCAGCTCCTTCCACTTCCTTCTAGTAATTTAAGCGTCTTTCTGACTTTTCAACTATTTTTGCTTATTTCGTAATTTTTGTGCTATTTTTTTTCCTACTTAAACCTAATTCAGCAAATATTTGTTCTTTCTTCTGCTACGTTAGGCTTATTCTTCCATTGCAGCTATATTTCAGCATGTTTTTGGCTAATTTCAGCTGTTTTTTCAGCAAGTTCTTCATAAATAAGCATTCACACTGCATTTTTGCAGGAAATGCAATTTCTCTAGTTGAGATTTACATCAGCTTTTTATAAATATAATTTTTTCGTTTTCCCTTTTTTTATTACAGTATTTGTCATGTCACATGTATTACTTCACCCAAGTCTGAGAAAAGAGGTGTTAATGTAGCTGTTTTTACAACCTTTGAGTCACGTCATACAAAAAATATCAGGCTCACAAGTTTAGAGAAATGCCACTGTTTTCCTTAAGAACAAGGTAACTCTCTTAATCTATTAGAGATTAGATTACCATTTCACCAATCGGAACACCTGATTATCATCAACAAACGTTTAAAAGAAAAGATTAAAGAGGATCAAGTAGATCATAAACCACAGCTGCTGCTTCCTATCCTTGAAATTATTTAAATAAAAGTACAAATGTGTCAATCATAACAGGATGACTTGATCAATTTAAAATGTCAAACAAACAACAGATGTATTTTTGATGAAAGTCAAATTGACTGTTTTAATTAAAACAAAGACCAGTTACATGGACAACAATGCTGACTTACATTTATTTTTGAACATATTGAACAAATAAATGCGCCTCAGATTAAATCGTGCAAGGATGCTTGACAGGGTTCAAACAGTCACGTCTCAGTTTCAGCTGTTCGGAGGAGGCTGCGTAAATCAGGTCTTTATGGTTTAATTTCTTCAAGAACACCAAAGAAGTGTGATGGAAGGACGCCAGTGAGGAAAACCAGAACAATGAAGGGATTGAAAAGCAGCCGATACATGATCAACTTAGCTGAGGACTCTTTTCAGAGTACTGGAAAAATCTGATTTCCTCCTGGGGTTGATGGAGAGTTTGTTAACGGGGAGCAAGGAAATATAGTTTATCTGTTTATGATTATAACATTCATTCATTCATTCAACCTTTATTTAGACAGGTAAATCCCACTGAGCCTCGAGGACTCATTTACAAGAGAGGCCTGGTTACATAGACTGAATAACGTTTTTTTACTGCACACCTCCAGTCTTTTATATTCTTGGAGAAAAAAAAATCTAAACTCTTTAGTTTTCACAGTTTTATTCAGCTTGTTAACCACGAGTTTACAAAAGATAAAAATAAAAATGTGCCTTTGAATGACAATTTTAGTTTAATAAATTAATTAACTTTCACTCATCAAAAATAGACCTTTTATTACACTTACAGCATAACTTGTTATTATTCTTTGTGTGAAATGGCTCCATTTCAAACATTAAAGCACAAAGGCTGATCTCCGGTGCTTCTCTGCTGCTGTTGGATACTTTTCACTTCAGTGTTTGTTGTCCATTTGACAAAGTGCGCTGCTCCACCACAGTCTCGTCTGTAGTATGTAATCTCAGCAGACGCTGGTTAACCTGTCTGAAAATCTTTACTCCAGCTGGTAATTTAGCATTTCATTGTTTGGCTAACTGCAGGTTTGCTACCTGAGAGGTTGCATAATGAGGTGACACGAAGTCAGAGTAATGTAAACTAACAAATCATGATACTTTACATCAAAACGCCATATAAGATTTTGAATAAACTAAAAAAATAAAATAAAAAAAAAGGAGGTTTACAAACTAATAGCTTGTTACTGCATACATTTTCTCTGCACCTTTTCAGAAAAATCACATTATGTTGGACTCATCTCATCATCAGAAAAAGTTTTAAATCATATTGCATTAACTGGCAACAAAAGCCATCTCCGGGTATTAGTGATTAAAGGCAAAAGGTGAAATATTTTTAGATCG